TCATCTACAGCATGAGGAACAAGGATCTCAAGAATGCCCTAAAGAAACTCTCAGTCGGTGCTAGAAATAAGCTCCCTGGCCTTCCTAACAAGTGGTTCCTAATGCATCTCAGATAGTTCTGTGCTTTGAGCATTCTCTCTGTGTTTATAATGCTTTTTTAACATAAGTTTTTGAATGCATCCTACTTTGCTAGAAGCATGAACCCACTCTGTGTAATTGCCATACCTGCTGTAAATATGTCTGTCCTTGTGTCTCTGTGTCAGTCCTGGCTTAGCTCAAACAAAAGTGGATTTCCTCACTGCAGTACTTCAAGATTGGCCTCTCCTTCCAAAGTTGGATTCTAAAATGTGCTCAGGGACTTTCACCATCAAAGTGTCTGTTTCTTTCTCAGGGCTTTCCAGGGCCTCCAGGCAATGGTTTCATAGATGATGTGTTAGGGAAGAAGGGTTGGATTCAGTTCTCAACTGTGGGTACTCAGAGCTCCTGCAGGTGGTGAATGGTCAGGCCGTATCTCTTACATGAGTGGGCTGAAGATGGAAAAGGAGCCTCAAGGAGAGCACAGGGCATCTCCAAGGGCACCATGTTCCCAGGAGTGAATGGAACTTCAGGAATTCAAGGGGAGTGACACAAAGGGAAAGGGCTAAAGCAATGAATGTCCAGGCTAGGGAGAGCTCTGCACTCCCACAAGAGGCACTGGGGACCTGGGAGGCGCAGGGAAGGGAGCCCGGAGAGTCACTGAGGTTGCCTTCAGTGTCAGTGTTTGGATGCCTGGGCAGCTCCTTCCTGCTGGCCTCAGTGCCTGTAGGCAGAGCACCAGCCAGCCCTGCCAGACTCTCTCCCAGCTCAGATGCCACCGACGGCTCTGCACCAACCCTCATGTGGTACAAGGCTGGGGCCCAGCAGGGTTTGTGGGGGTACAGGGCAGTGAGGGCTGTCATGGGGACCATGTCCATGGGGACATTTCCCCAGTGCTGAGCACCGTGCCCTGGATGCTGTCTGCACAATGGAGCCAGGGAGACATGTGCAGGCATGGGGATGGGAGCAAATGGGAGCCCCCATCTTCTGCTTGGGAGAAAGGAAACTGCCAGGAGCTCTCCCAGCCCGGCCTCACCAGCACCAGTGATGGCCAGCGCTGCTGCTGCACCCAGTTTCTCCATGTTGAACTCAACCACATTCCCTACAGCTGGCTGCAGGGACACCCATAGGGCCTGACCATTCCTGTTCCTGACAAGCTGCTTGTTCAAGGCAATGTTGGAAGAACAGGCCTGGCACCATCCTCTTGGCCCTGCACTGCCTGTGGCTGTGATAAGTGAGCAGTCCCATCCAGAGAATGGTTCCTGGGACAGGCATTTGGAAACAAGCAGCTGGCAGTGTTGATGGGAGTCCATCTGAGACATGTCATCTGGGTGGACGAGGCCTCAGGCTGCCCTCAGCCTGTTTGGGAGGAGCTCTTCACTGGGAGGAGTGCGGGGAGGAGGGACATGAGTCCTCCTGTGGTTTGCGAGGTGAAGGTCCTGACGTGTGCTGGGGATCAGGACACTGCTGCCTCCTAGGCCCTCTCCCAGCTCCTGGGAGGTCATTGCAGGAGCCAGCCAGGCCTGGAGAACAACTATCCCCACAACCTGGGAGCCAATGCAGGGAGGTTGTGTGCATATGGTGCCATTTGAGTCACACTCTTGCTCACATTGGTTAAAGGAGACTGTACCCACCTCCTCACCCTGCCTGGGTGGTTGGTAACTCCCATTGTGGTTTCACCCTTGTCCCCTACAAGCTCGTACCCAAACTCTAGCCCTCATGTTCAAAGAACTCCACACATCTAAGCTGCCCATTCACACCAAGGGCAGCCCCCTTGCTCATCTTCCTCCACTCTCTCCTGAAGATCTCGCACCCTGCCACTGTACGGGCCATGGAATCAGGTGTGAGATTCCACCACATCCCAGCTATTCTAGCAATAATGTCTCCGTCAGATGGGCATCTCCATCTGCTCCTCTCTTGACCCCAGACTTTATGCACTCGTGCAGGTTTCCATTGCAGAGTCTCAGCTGTAGCACAGAGAACAGGTTGATCATGGTGAAACTTGTTATACCAAGGGCCAAGGACACAGCATTTATGGTGGCTGCACTTCAGAGCACAGGCATGCTGTCATGGAGAGCACGTGGCAATGTGATGGTGAGAGGAGATTCCCACTAAGAGAGCAAAGCCTGCAGAGTCCGGGGCGGGGGAAACAGAGTTGGACTGCCCAGCCCTGGCAGGAGAGGATTTTACTGCCTGAGCTCACTCTGCAGCACCTTGGGGCCTGGGACAGAGCTGAGCTGATCTCCAGGAAGGACAATGCACCAGTGAAGAAGGTCCTGGCTTGGACCACAAGCCAGTGACCCTGTGGAAATCATTAATACTGTCCTTGTTCCTGTCATTCGGTGGTAAAAAGAGGGTAATGGAGAGGAGAACTAGAAGGTTTCAGGAGCTCAGGGACACGGGTCGTGACCTTTAAAGCAGCACACTTGGATGTGGACAGCGCAGACTGTGCCTAAAAGCAGAGGCGGGGCTCATTTGTTTGAGTACAGGTGGGACACCAGGGATGCCCTGGGGCACTTGCCCAGAACCACTGCAAAAGGACATGGCTTTCCTGGGGGTGCCAGGCTCTATCTGCTAGAAACATGCAGTTGTGCAGGATGCTCCAGGCATCTGACATGGCTCTTCAGGTCTCTCTTTATATCATTGGATGAAGAGTCTGAGGAGCTGGCATTATGATTGTGCATCATAGGGGCATACTTCTGTCCCAGCTTCATAGTGGGTGTTGCTCTAGCAGTAGTGGTCATATGGGGTCATTTGTGATGATCACAGAAATTCCCTGCTTGGCTCCCAACTCATGGTTTAGAAAGATATGGGTCTCCCAGCTGCTCCATCAGATCCAGTAGACACTAGCACATGCCTTGCACCACCTATATCTCATTCAATGTTGTCATGTGTTTCTGTGTGGCCATCTCATTCTCACCCTGCACCTCCAGGGATTACCTGAAATGCCCACACAGATGCCCACTGCCACCAGAGCTCCTCTCACCAGGCAGCTGAGAGTCATGCACACACTGCCAACAGTGTGTGATGTCATTCAGAGCAGGCATTTGACACAAAGGGACACAGAATTTGACTTGCAGGGACATATGGGATGCCTGGGGTGTCCTGCACAACATGTCTCTAGCAGATACAGGAGGAGACCTTTAGGAAAGCCATGTCCCTTTGGAGTGTTTGCTGACAAGAGGCCTACAGCAACTCAGGTTTCTTACCAGGACCCAATCAACTGGAAGCCACCACTGCCTAAGGCCAAGTCCTCCTTATCTCCAGCCAAATATGCTTCAAAATATAAGAGCCACATCACACCAAGGTCTCTGCTCTAGTTGCCGCACCCTTAAAATCTTGTAGCTCTCGCTCTCCAGAAACTCTTCCCACACTCAGATGAGGGAAATGGGCTAATGATGACCTCAGTGTGGTAAATCACAGACTGCCCCAG